GGAAGAACTATTCTATCGCCCGGATGTTGTTGCACTTGAAAGAGGAGCTCGTCCATCTACAGATGCTGAATATGGTAAGACTCAATGCCCCTCCGCTGCATAGGTGACCTGAATACTGCTTCGCTCTCCGATTCTTAGATTGAAGCCACATCAAATCTATCAACTACTGCGTATACAATCAAGACGCTCATGGAAAATCAAGGAAAGCCCAAGAGTCCGCAAGTACCACTATCGATCTCCCCCACTGATCGTGAAGAAGTACACATTTGTCCTAATAACAAGGCTTTTGGCTGACCACGGGAACTTCCAGTACAAGGCTTTAATACCCGGCGAAATTCAACTTCAGCGATGGATCCCAGATGCTCTTGGAAACGCCAAGGACTTGGACGTCGATGATGCTAGTATCCAAAATGCCACAGTTAACATTGATGGCCAACTCATGACGGCACGATATTATGAGACCGAGGCGGGATTGAAGGTACACCGTTCGTTTTTTATCGCACGGAAAGACGCTTAAACTCACTGGTGATAGAGAATGGATGCGGACCTTGAGATGTTGAGACGACTGCGGTGGGTGCCTCGTGGTTGTTCATACCCTCGAGCTTTGGTCTCATTCTAAATAATAGCGGGCCGAATGTGCTCCAGCTTTTTGGCATTTGCTCTGCTGCACTACGACCATGTTTGGTTTTCCATCGATGTAGGTTCTCGACTCTGACGGCTTTGAAAATAATTCTGACTTTGGTCAACAAAGTCGTGACGCCAATTGCCGAGCAACAAGTGCTTAAGCAGATCCATCCATTAACGTATTTGGGGTTCACACACCATTTGGTTCGTTGCCTATACACCTGTTATATAAGTTGAAAACTGATAAACCGATAGCTACAAGGCTACGATGTACGTCTGGCAACTGGAATAGCTAGACTGTAGCTTACGAATCAGACAGATTGGCCATGACTATCTTCGTGATCAATTTCCCGATAACCAATGCATGGCTCACCCGCGCCCCAAGGCGAGGATGTATTTTTCTGGATGCCCCTGTTCCGCGTCTTCCTCCCCGCCCCATTCCTTCCACCTTGAAAGTTATGCCAACGAGCATGGTAAACTGATCCTCTCCATGGTGAGCCATATTTATTTGTACTCTGCCCTGGATCTCATCATCAATTAGCAAACCGTCGAGCCTAATACACCTTTCCCAAAAGCCGTGCAACGGCAAGGCTACTATGGCTTCGACGCGACTTGGAAGAAAGATCCTATAATCGAGCGGACGCTCGACCCCTTTTGCCCGGATGGATACATGTCTGAAACGCATCTGAAGCACTCGCTGAAGGCATTCCATGCAGCCGTACTATTGCAAGGTTACGCTTCACCAATCATTCACCTGCCCCCGTCATCTTCTGCTGCTTTTGGATTCGGCGAAATTTGGGAGATGCCGAATCAGGATCATCTTGACGACGTGGTAGATAGGCCAGTGCGTAGTGGAATAGCAGTGAAGAAAGGGACAGTACAGTGGCCGGGGGTATTACTGTATAACATGAAGGAACAACCTGAGGCCGTGAAGTGGGAAGTGGGTGAAAATGCTGTCTATGAAGATGTTCGGGGTTATAAGAGGTGAGAAGGTGGCATGACATTTGGCGCCTCTGTGCTCACATCGAAGTGCTTATTGGCAGATTTACAGTTCCTCTAAAGAGACCCGAGGACCCTCCTTTGGCTCTCGATCCATCAGAAAGAGAGATTCGATGCAAAATCTCCATCTCACTGGCAGAGCTGGCGCGCCTTGGCCCGCTGTATATCTCCCAGGCTGGGTCTCTTCGTAAACAAGTTCTCAGCGATCTCGAGTCAACTGCAACGCTTGCTCTGAGTGAGATCTATCACGAACTTTTCACTTCTCCTCACATCTTATCTGACATTGAACTCCATAGTGACCGATGCTAAATGCAATTTTGCGTATCAGCCGCACTTCAGTCCCGATCCTCTCCATTCTGACGCTTCTGACCCCATGGAAGCAGTTTATCTCTTCGTCGAACAACCCAAGCTTTCAAAGTGCACGCCTGTATCTGTTCCAAAATGTTTCTGGTCTAAGGACGAAGCTGGACAAGTACCACTGGATGAAATAGAGATGTGTCGGCTAGGGCTACGGATACCTGTGATTTCCATGTCAGGAGAGGGCATCTGCTGGACCTCGGTACAGCTGCGTGGCGTTGACGAATTCCACAAACTCTCAGGGCTTGAACCAGGAAATGACGACGTTGTGAAGCGTGTTTGCAATGTTATCCCAAAGTTTATTCCAGGTAAGCGCTTCGCTCGGCTCCAACGTGGGCTGTTGCTGATCTTATATTATAGCTACCCAGCACAAGCACTACGAAGTACAGTATATATAGACCAGCACATGAAATGCGAGATGGCCCTGTCTTTCCATACATCTGTGTGTTGTTCCGGACAAAAGTCTTTTGTCCTGTCATGTCATTGTACCTCATATCAAGTCTTGTTTTTCTATTTTATATATTTTGTCACACAGTACTTAGCTCAGAGATAAAGACAAGGATAATCGAATTCCGAGTAAGGCTAGTCTTTAACGATATTCCTAAAGCGAATGGGATGCTACCCAGTTTCTGACTTCATGCCTTACTAGAGTTTGACGTCCTAGACAGAAATGTAGGACGTTGCAGTAGATATGGGTCAAAGTTGTGCTATGACACGAATTGGACCAGGTAAAATTCGGAATATCTACATATCTAGCCCAGCAGATAAGGGTGTGGTACTAAAAAAATGGCGCATATGCTAGATAATATATCAAAAGATGGACGCGAGCTTAATACAGATGCCAAGAAATGTCGTTGTTACTTACGATATGAAATACATTCATAGAATATGCTTGAGAATCATGCAGAACGCATTTATCGAAATCCTCCCTGCCAACCAGCTATTCTCAGCGTAAAAGCCAGGCATTACATCTGGACCAGTATCTTATGAGGCCATCCAATCTGCCTATATGTTCAAGAATGAATGCTGTACACACCTTCTCAAATACTGTGGTCTTGGTAAGAGTGTCGAGAACCATCGATCAGAAACTTGTGATGCTAAAAGCCTACTACTCCTTCTGAGCACGCCAGAGGGTTCGCCGTTTTTCGGCATTTGGGACATTTGCCATGGGAAGACTCTCAACTCACTTGTGACACTACCGTTAACTCGACGCTATCGTTACAATGTTTCGCTGTGTCGAAACAAGAATTTCACCTTTTTGCCTCTTGCCACCTTCGTGCGTCTGTGCTTAGGGTCACGGTTTAGGTAACGTGTGTCCTTCGTATCTCCTACTGCTACTGTTTAGTCAGTCGATTGGGTTTGCCCTTTTGACTTTACCACCTCCTTATTTCTCTTATTTAGGTTTGTTCATTGAGAGAACGATTTTCTATTGGGTTTACCCACTAGATCGTCACGAGTACTCTGAGTTCTCTGCTTTAACCAACGTAAGAGAGTCGGGGATCGACAGAGCACATGCACGCGCACAAAAAAAAAAAAAAAAAACACGAAAAAACGAAACGACAGAACAGAGCAGAAACAGAGCACAAGACAGGCGCGAATATATCCAGTATACAATCAATCCACGAGCAAGAAAGAAAGAAAGAAAGAAAGAAAGAAAGAACGAAAAAAGAGAGGAGACAGACACAAAACGACGAGGCCCACCCAGAGACAAATACATACAGCGAACCTCTACACCAGGGTGGTGCCGCCGCCACACGCACGAACACAAAAGAAGTCAATCATGGCACCAGCAGTCCGACAACACCACGCGACGCAGCCACAGCCACGTCCTGCACGGCTCCATGTCCTCCTAAAAAAAAAAAGCAGCGGGGGAAGAAGAAGAAGAAAAAACCCATACGCCACTCACCTCATCGACCTCCACCAGCGCCCTTAGTTCTTCCTCCACATGCACTACAGCCCTCTCCGCCTTATCTCTAATTTCCCTCCCTTCTTCAGTGTTCGTGCCCGTGCCCGTGCCCTGAGCGGGGGCAGCGGCGCAGCAGAGCGCGTAGAGGTACCACGGCAACCAACGGCACACGGGTAAGATGAGAGAGGTCGACAGGAAAGAAAGAGAAAGGAAAAGAGAAAGAAGAAACGGAAAGGTTAGCGATCGCAACGACATCCCAAAGCCGAACACCCAAACACTGAAGACAGAAGCAAAGCAAAGCGCCACTCAAACCCCCAGAGCCTGCCCATTGACCACGTACAGGCGTGCACAGCGCCCGCCCTCCAGGTCTCCCTCAGCACACAATTCCAGTCCCCACCCCCGTCCTGGTCCTGGTCCTCGCCCTCACGCCCCCCACCCCCGATCGAGCCTGACTCCAAGCCCGTGGACGCTCCTGAGCACGCCCTACAGCGTCCCCCCCAAGCCGGACTGCGAGCGCGCCGAGGAGGCCGTGGTGTGCAATCTGTTTGCATGGATTATCTCAAAGGGAAGGGATGGGATGGGAAGAGAGCGACGCCCCTCGAGGTCCACGTACCCTAGACCCTAGCAGCGCATGTGGTGCGAGGCGCTGAAACTTGTGTGCGTACAGCGGGTGCAGGAAGTTGCGGTGGTATTGGTGATAGATGAGGGCATCTAGACACTGACAGGCAGACACACCATGGGGACGTCCCAGGTGACGAGCCTGCGCCGCTCTCTTTGTCGAGTGCGATTGAGGACGGCGAATGGGCGCAGAAGAAGCAGAGAAAGAGGTAGACGGCGTGGAAGGACGGTGTAGAAGGGCATCTCGGGGGTCGAGCGGTGCAGGAGCCAAGAAAGAGACTCTCATCACGTGTACGAAGTGGCGCGATGCCACTTGAAGCAATGGAGGGAGGAGAGCGGCGGCGAGGGCGACTGCTTCTTGACCACCTCCACCTTCTTCGTGTCAATGCGAGGAGCGACGACGAGCCCAGCAAGCTGCTGTTGCGGGGGCTCGACATGTGGTGGCAGCGGAGAGAGAGGCGTCTGTGATATAGCCTCCGACCCCATACATGTTATGTCTTTGCTAGTATATCGGTTAGTACACGCGCCTGTCATACCCCTGTACCGCGCGAAAGCTGGGTTCGACTCCCAGGCAGAGAGTTTTTCCTTTCTGGATCTATATCAACTCGCATTCACATAAGCCTGTCTCTTGGCTGACCCCTTTCCACACATTTAATTTGCATACATCCAACTTCCTCCTTGGGTTCTTCCTGCCATTGATATCCCTGGGGTAGTGTCAGCGCATCGAAACCGTCTGAAACCCGTTCCTCGAAGTCTTGAATACCCATAAACAAGCATCTAACGATCTATCCGCCGGTGCGTCCTGGCACTCTCAGTGCAAGACACAGACATGTTATTTACGTTCAACAGGAATCAAGTGAAGATCATGAAGAACCTCCCCCAGCCTGGTTCACAATTTATCAAGCGCCTTGCGCACAGTTTTAAATTCCAACTCATCCAGTGGGATTTCTACCAGAAAAAAAAAAGAACTCTGCCATCAACAGCTACGTTTATGCATGGAGCATAGCACAAACTACACGCACGTTGGTTCAGCAGCCACTTCTTTAAGAGCTCCTCAGGCTCGCCCACGACGAAATCTGGAACCCACCCTGAAATAGTCGAAAACATCATAGACTCCCCGGATGGACATATAACCTCTAAATCCGCATATACGGATCTCCCCACATAGAGGGCAATGTATCCTACCGCTTCGTCTATCTCGTCGACTTTTTCGTCTTTGGGCGCGTGTGCCAGTCGGATGGACACTGGAGGGGGGGGTGGGGGGGTGGGACATAAGCACAATAGTGGGCTAGTGGTCATGAAGAGAAGAACATCTTCGACTCCCGAGTAATCTAATCTCATTGTCCTCTTTTCCCTCTATCTATCCATTTCATCCAACTGCAGATTCACATGTATTTTTCTCCACCTCCTGCCTACAAAGTTGATCCAGGCACATTTGCCTTGATGTCAGCTAATCATTCATGCCTTCAGACAAGTAATTAGATGAAGGTCAACAGAAGACCTTGAGGTTGCTCAAACTCCCACCAGCAATAACTTTGTTCTTATCAATCAGGCTACGACATGTGGACTCCCCCGCAGCACCCGCAGCCCAATCCTTCATCCGAGTTAACAATTTGGAGTGCAGGCCAAAACCACCGTTCCATCGGTTATCGGCCTCCACCTAGGGAGATCCAAAAACGCTGTGGTGGTTACATCATATCTCAGGAAATGATGACTAAATGGGCAGACAAGAAATTCAGGGAGTGGCGGGATATACCCAAACTGCATCCAGAAGCACTGTTCCATGGCGAGAAATTCCGATGGGACACGGAACTTGGCTATTTCCTTCCTTACAAGTATATCGAAGGATCTGGCGGGATGCTTGTTCGCCGCGAGGAGCTTATCAATGCTGCCAACGAGAACAAATGCTTTGAGACAGAAGAATTTGATCTAATGGTCCGCAATAAACTCATTACAGAGGGTAGGAGCTCTCCAGTTCTGGTTTTTGGGAGTGCTTATCTGACAGTCTTTTGAAGGCTTTGAAGACTGTGATTTATCTTTTCGTACCGTTACTATATGTACTATAGTCAGGAAGATAGGTTAATGAAATAGCAGAGGAGATAGATGTGTTGTGAGATTGATGGAATGAAAGTTGAGGGAACATGCATAGGGATACACGATGACAAGGCCTTGAGTATTTCTATGGCAGCGTGAAATCATGATCAGTTAAGCCAGAACAAGACTCCACAATCCACAATCGATGTACTTGATGTGGTGAGCTTCAAACAGAGAGAACAATTAGTCGACATTATGATATGTGCATGAGTGACTTTCGAGTAATAACAGAACAGGCATCGACCTTGTTTTCATCTCTTGCATTTCAACATCTGCATAATTTCTTCCTCCTCAAGTTCTTCTCCTCCCCCTATGTGTGTGACCTGGTGACCTGGACCCCCCTGGTACCCAACAAATTGCAACTATCCTCATCAACAAAAAAAACGTGTTTCATTTGATTTCATTAAGATTTCCTCACTAAAAGCAACCAGAAGACGCTGCCAAGTGCCCATTTGGGCAGATTCCATGTATTGTGTGCCTGTTCCCCCCTTTTCCATTCTCACCTGCACTTACACTCATGATCAATCATCTACCTTGAGCACAACTATGGCCTCATCATATATGAGCCCAATATTCTGCTTTCCAAGGAATATGCAAGGCAGGGTACAAACTTGCAGAATCCTGCCCTGGATCCCGATATAGATGAGTGCACTGCATTGAGGAGGCTACAGATATTGAACGAGGTGGATTCCCTGTGTTTTTATCAATTCACAGGCCTCTTACCACAAAAAAGGGGAAACACAAATGGTTATTGCCACCATAGCCATTTATGTGCTTAAATTGCCATGAATCTGAATCAATCTTCAGCCATTCATAAATGATTTCCTCCTCAGCCACCTCATGATCGACTCCCTGAGTTTGTATCCCCGATCTTCAAGCGTCACAAGCGACTGAGCCAGTTCCTCTACCTCTGATAGAGCATAGGATATCGGACATTCGGCATGTACCCGCAATTTGATGAGATTGTAGGTGACGAAAGGTCTGAGTAATGAGAAGGGGGAAGGCATGGCCTCCGTAGTGTCTCGTAGTGTGAAACTTGTGACTCGACTGCACTTCGCAGCAATTTTTTGGAGAGTCGGGACAGGGTCGCTGCTGCTGCTG